TGGGGTGCTGGGGATCATACCCAGGGCCTCATGCATACCTTGTTCTTAATGTTTTCAAACTTCATGTTTTCAAACTATTTTGGAGAATTATTTGTAATTTTTCTTTAGTAGTAGTCCAATAGTCAAAGAATAGAAAACAAAAAAAAAAAAGCTCTTTTCCTCCAAAAACTGTTATTTATGTAAGAAATGCCTGTTTTTCTTTGTGTTTGAGTTACACACATAAAGACCTATCAAATCTGAGCTGGGCATGGTGAAGCATGCTGTTCTCCAGCACTCTGGAGGCCAGAGCAGAAGGATGGAGAGTTCCAGGCCAACCTAGACTACATGGCAGATTCTAGGAGAGTCTGGGCTATTAGGGAGACCCCATCTCAACAAAGAAGGAAACAACTATTCACTGTCATTTTTAAGTGTCCCCTCTACCATTTTCTTCCACTAAATGATTATCGTATATAATAGAGAATGATAATTGGTACTCTCCCTCTGTTTCTTTCTTTTTTTTACAGTGATGGAGATGGAACCCAGGGGTTGCACATTATCCTTGAGCTACACCTTGGGACCAATAACTGATAGTTTCTTCATAAACGATAGTCTAAAATATGGGTTATTAAGTGAAGACTTGCATTTATAAAATATCCAATTATATTAGCAATAATTTGTAAGGACTCAAAATTTAAACTGTTATAGGCTCATGCCTGTAATCCTAGCTACTCAGGAGGCAGAGATAGGAGAATCACTGTTTGAGGCCAGCCTGGGCAAATAGTTAACAAGACCCTATCTTGAAAATATCCAACACAAAAAAGGGCTGGTGGAGTGGCTCAGGTAGTTAGTGCCTATCTATCAATCATGAGTTCAAACTCCAGTACCACCACCAAAAAAAAAAAAAAAAAAATCGAGACATATGTCCCAGCATGTTGAAAAACAAAGGAAACATATTAAGGAAGGGCACACTTTTTTTTATGACACTAAAGAGAGTTTTGAGAAGACATAATTATCTATTTAACTAAATTGTATAAGAGAAGGGGCTGCATTTGCTATTTTACCTTACATTCGTAATACTTAGCTAATGCTTTATACCAAAGAAAGAGGCAATGGTTGAGGATGTGGCTTAAGAGGTGGAGTGCCTGCTTGCCTAGCAAGCTGGAAGCCCTGAGTTCAAACTCCAGTACCACAAAACAGAAAGATGATGATTATTGAATTTATAATCATTTTTAAGAGGCCAACAGAAATCAGAACACGTAAAAACCTTAATAAAATTTTCAACACACATTTCTTCTTTCTATATTAGTTAAATTCTGAGTGTTTTTATAAACAGACTAATTCTTTTTTCTCTCTTCTTTTTCTTTTTTTTTGTGGTAGTGGGGTTTGAACTCAGGGACTACACCTTGAGCTACTCCACCAGCCCCCTCTTTGTTTTTGGTGGTGGGTTTTTTCAAAATAGGATCTCACTAACTATTTGCCTATGCTGGCTTAGAATTGCGATTCTCCTGATCGCTATCTCCTGAATACCTAGGATAACAGCTATGAACCACTGGTGCCCAGACAGACTAATTGCTATAGTTTAGCAATAATCAAAAGAAAGCTATTACTACTTTAATAGTAAGTACCTATAGCAGCCAACTAAGCAATACCTTTGTTGAAAAATTGAAAAGAAGCATGGTTCATTTTAAGCACAAAGCCATGGAAAATCAATACTGTAAGGATAATGGGGAGCAATGACCTAAAGGAACATCAGATGAAGAGTGGATGTTCACTTCCTGTATGGGGAAATAATGCATACCTTCCCACAAAGCCATGGACATCATCGTAGCTGTCATATATCTCAACATAGTCAGCCAAGCATCCTGGATCATCTTCAAGGTCAAAGTCCAAAAAACTCAGGTGAATACGCTGACCATACTTGAGTCTAATGTGCCAGTAGCAGACCTGGTTATCATCGTACTCATTTGGGAAGCCTGGAGATTTAAAAATTCGCTTTGGGTCGGTAAAAACTCCACCACACTCTTTTGCTGAAATGAAAAAAAGAAAACTAGCCTTAGGGAAAAAATATTCTAATTTAAAATGATATTCACTTCTGGACTGGAGGTGTGGCTCAAGTGGTAGAGTGCCTGTCTAGCAAGTGTGAAGCCCTGAGTTCAACCCCAGTATAGCCAAAATAAATAAATAAGTAAATAAGTAAACTAAAACCCAGAAATGATATTCACTTCTTTCACATCTATTTATTACTTTTTACAAAATACAAAGGAAATGGCTTAGTATATAGTGTCTCTACTACATTAGGTATGCTTATAGCTAAAGAATAAATGTACTTTTTCATTAGTGGTTTCTAAATTTGATAAAATGAACGTGGACTATTTGTGAATTGTTATTTTTATTTTATTATCATATACTGGGTATTTGTGAATTTTTAAAAAGTAAAAGTAGAAAGAAAAGGATAATTTAATTAGTTGTATTTCCATTTACATATCTTCCTTTTTTTGGGAAGTACTGAGGCCTTGAATTCAGGGCCCCACAATTACTAGGCAGACACTCTATCACTTGAGCCACTCCACCAGACCTTTTTCTCATGAACTATTTGCCAGGGCTGGCCTCGAACCTCAATTCTCTTGATCTTTGCCTTCCACGTGGTTAGAATTATAGGCCTGAGCCACTGGTGCCTGGCTCTTTTATCTTTTAAAGCATAGAGTGATTTTGCCAAATCTATGTAGCAATGTTACCAGCAGCCTAATGAAGATGGTAAGGATGCTAACACTGTGTCCTCAGGGTCTCCCTTAGGATAATGAGTCCCATAAATTCTGATTGGAAAATCATTATGGCTCAAGTGGCAGAGCTCCTGCTTTGCAAGTGTGAAGCCCTGAGTTCAAACCCCAGGGCCACCAAGAAAAGGAAAGAAAAAAAAAAATAGAATTCTGGGATCATAAGGAACCTTAAAAGCAACTCTAATCCAATTAAATGGAATTATTATGATCATCTGTACTCTCATTTTTATTTTTAAACATTTTCATTACTATATATTAGTTGTACAGAGGATACATAGTGATATTTACATATGTGCTTACAATGTATCTGAATTAGATTCACCCTCTCCATCACTCTCCTTCAGTCCCTTTCCCCCTTCTTAGAACAATTCCAACAGGTTTCATGCTATTTTCTAGCCTTTTTCTTTGTTAAGCATGGTATCTACCACTGAAATACACCCCAAGCCTAAATCTGTACTCACTACAGTGGTTTTAAAGTAACACATCACACCATAATACTTCAGAATTTGGAAATGATATTCATGCTTGTTTATTCTAAGTCATTAATATTGTAGATTTCAGTAGAAAAGCAAGTGAACCAAAACAAACAAAAAACAAAACCACTGCTAAAACCAGTGGTTTGCAATATGACCTAGAGGCAAAGCTATTTTTTATTTCTGTCAGTTAAGTTTCCAGTGTCTAGAAAAGAGGTGGAAACTGGAAACTCAGAAAATAACCTGTGTGTTGGTGGTATCTTTTTAGGTGGCATTTGAAGATTTTTTTTTAAAAAAATCATCTCCATTAGAAACTTTTCCAAGATAACTCTTCTTTCTTTCTTGTAATGTTAGGGCCTTGAATCTGTTAGGCAGGTGCTCTACCACTTGAGCCACTCCACCAGACCTTTTTTTGTGTTGGGTGTTTTTGAGATAGGTTCTCAGGAACTGTTTTGCTGGGAGTGACCTCAAACTTTAATCTTCCTGATCTCTACCTCCTGAGTAGCTAGGACTTCAGGCATGAGCCACCGGTGCCTTACTACTTTATTTCTCAGGCTTCTTTCTAACTCAGGCTGTCTTTGAACTCTAGTTGCTCTTGGCTCAGCCTCCTATGTAGCTGGCATTACAGTCTGGTGCTATCATACCAGGCAAGCATATTCTCCTTCAAAATAGCTATTCACTTAATTTGTTTATTTATATATTTATATGGTGGGACTGGAGTTTGAACTCAGGGTTTCATGCTTGCAAAGCGGGCATGCTACCTCTTGAGCCATGCTTACAGACCTAAAACAGCTATTTTAAAAAAATCATGTTAGAAACTGGGGGCTGATGGCTGTATTTCTAGCTACTTTGGAGGCTGAGATCAGGAGGATCACATTTTGAGACCAGCCTAGGCAAATCATTTGTGAAACTCCATCTCCAGAATAATCAGAGCAAAATGGACAGGAGGTGTGGCTCAACTGGTAGAGCACCGGCTTTGTAAGCGTGCAAAGCCCTGAGTTCAAACCCCAGTTCCACAAAAAAGAAAAAAGAAAGAAAGAAAGAAAATTCCACATACTGGGTATAGTGAGAGATGCCTATAGTTCCAGCTCTTCAGAGGCTGAGGTAGAAGGATTGAGAGTTCAAGGCCAGCCTGGGCTACATAGTGAGACCCTGTCTTAAAATTCAAAACAAAGAATCCTCATACATAAAGGCAGTCAACATGATGTCACACATTCCAAACTCGAAACGAGGAGCCTTACTTCTGAACATTTATCGGCCGTATTCTTCCTTATTTCAAACAGCTCTAACTTGGTGATATTAATTGGTAATAATTGCTTTATTTTTGTGGTACTATTGAGATTCTTTTTGTCCCATGTGTCAAGGACCTGTTTTTCAGCTAGTATTAGTGCAAGCAGTTCACAGTGTTCTTCAAGTTAACCACATCCTAAGCAGTCAGCACACCACTGAATCTAAAAGTAAACTAAATCCACTGAGCATTGGGTAAGAGCAAGTCTCCCGGGAGTCGCTACACATATTCCCAGAATATAAACTACTTAGCCTTGATGAGAAAACAAAGCAACTCACAAAGACCTGTAAATCAAGAGGGCATTCTTATAAGAAGGGCAGAAAAACACTGTAAGAACCTTTTCACTGGCACGTCTTCGTTTACTTTAGACTTTGACCTAGGGCAACGATTGAACAGGAGCTCAGAGATCCTACAGTTTACTAAGCAAAAGAAGATTCAGAATTTCCTAATTGGAAAGACAAGTTATTCTTGAGAGTAAAAAATAGAATAGTTGCCTATATGAATATACCAAAGAAAAGAAAGGAAGAACAGAAGTGGGGAAAGGAAGATTTATGTATTATTAGTAATGACTAAATACACAGTAAGTATAGTACTATCTAGGACTCAGACTACAATCTTCAAGTATGTGAAAAGTGATTTGGAAGTCATATACATCTACTGTATTTTGTTTCAAGTTGGAATAAGAAATAGTTGTAGGTGAAATTCTTTATACCTGGAATATATAATTTGGAGATATAGCTTATTTACAGACCTGAAGAGCTATTCTCCTAGTATCATTAGTCAGAAATTATATAACAGTATGCTAGAACTTCACTATAACGTTCCTATTGTATTACAGAATTTTTTTGGCAGTACTGGGATTTGAACTCAGGGCCTCATACTTTGGAGGCAGACACTCTTCCACTTGAACCACTCCACCAGCCCTATGGAATTTCTTATATGGTAGATCCAAATGGGATACCACCTAAATACATTTATGATCATAAATGCCAGAAAGACTTTATATTGTTCTGTGGGAATATGTCAGAAAATAAGAGTCTTACTTTTTTCTTCAAGAACATGAACAAAGAGTAATCCTTATTATGACTTACTTTTCTCATTAAATATTTCAAGCAACCATGGGGAAAATGAGAAACCTATTATATATATACATACATATGTTTATAACATATATATATAATATATATTATAAGGGAAAATTATGGAGGGAGTGAATATGTAAACATCACAATGAAATCCATGTGTACAACTAATACATGCTAATAAATATGTAAATAATAATTAGTATATGCAGAATATAATTGTTAAGCCAAACCAGAAACTGACAGTTGCTTCATTTCTAAGCATTTATACACAAAAAGAAATTAGAGAAAGAATTTAGTCTATCTCCTTTTCTTCTTTCTATCAAAGGGACAAACTATATGGAACACTTAATGTTCGGTAGCATAGCTTTATTTCTTTAGCTAATTAACTGTGACAAATACAGAAATCTTTCTCTTCCCCTTCTGTGTGAGGAGGAAGTTCCCTGGCACAGAAAAGACCTGAATTCTCATCTCAGCTGTCTACTAATTGTTGGCTGTCTGATTTCAGGCAAGTTAAGTCACTTCAGTTTCCTCATTCCTGAAAAGGTTGTAATAATAGCTCCTTGTAGAGTTGTGACTATCAGAGAGAATACAGGTGAAGGAATATAACCCAGTGTCTGGTGCAGCGTAAGTACTCTATGAGAAGTAGTTAGTTGCTATTAGTAATTACTACCACATTCTCTTCTTTTTGGAAGAAAAAGTCATTGCTCTTTAAAAACCTCTTAGTAGCACATAACAGTTTTGTTGTTACTGGTTTTTGTGTAATTATTTTTGCAAAACATAAAATTATTATTTTTAACAACAAACCATGTGGGTTGTGGCAATAAGCATCCCATCTCTCGCTCCTGTTCAGCCGAATTCCGTAATCAATAATACCAGTTTTTCCAAATCCACAGTTAGGCCCTGGCTTCACAATGGGGTATCCAACTCTGCCCTTGGCCATCCACCCAGCAGCGCAGACGTGAAATCCTACAAGAGGAAGAAGGGGTATGGACTCAGCTGGCAAAGGCCCTCAGTCAAGCAGATGCCATTCGTAAAGGATGAGTTCCTCTATTGCTCAAACCCAGTTTGTGTAAAATGGGGAAAAAAACGGTTTCCTTTAAAAAAAGAAAAGGTTTCAACATATATAAAATGTAATTTCTGACTTTTACTAGAAAATAGTCCTATGTGGAAAAAAAAAGAATCAGATGGACTAGAAATTATAACACCGTGGATATAAGAATCATTTAAATTCAGAGCTGGCTTCTTTTCACAAATGGCCTTACTAGCACCATCAGATAATTTCTGAAATTGTCATGAGTTCTGAAAAGAAATATCTAAAGTGGTAATTTAATTAATTTTTGTTTCAGGATCATTTAAGATAATATTTTAAAAGCGCTGAATGAGGATAGATTCTCACAGATATTTTAAAGAGGCTCAGCCTTATTTCCTTTGCTCAGCTCTGGAGGCTGTTTTTAGTATCTGCCAATGCTATCCATGAGTGATTTTACTAGAGGTAAAAGACAGGCAGTGAAGATCAAGACCTTAGTATCCATCATTCCAGTTACTTTGTCCCACATAGCCTGTGGGTATGAATGAGCAGTTTCTGGGGAGGTTTTGGGCTATTTGAGAGAATACCTTTACAGTTGGCCCTACATATCCACCAGTTTTGCATCTGTGCATTCAATCAATTGGGGATAGAAAATGCCTCTTAAAAAATTGCATCCAGGTCAGGTGCCAGTGGCTCACACCTGTAATCCTAGCTATTTAGGAGGCTGAGATCAGGAGGATCATAATTCAAGGCCATTCCAGACAAATAGTTCCTGAGACCCCCATCTCAAAAATAACCAGAGCAAAATGAACTAGAGATGTGGCTCATGTGGGAGAACAACTGTGTTTGCAAGCACAAAGCCCTGAGTTCAAACCCCAGTCCTACCACAAAAAAAAAAAAACCTTGCTTCTGTACTAAGCATGTACAGACTTTTCTTGTAATTCCTTAAACAATAACATATAACTATTATCATTTGTACTAGATAGTGTAAGTGATGTAGAGATTATTTAAAATATATGGGGTTTGGAGGTGTAGCCTAGCATGTGTGAGGCTCTGGGTTTGATCCACAGCACCATAAAATAAATAAATAAATAAATAAAACATGGAAGAATGTGAAGTACTTTGCCATTTTATATAAAGAACTTGAGCATCCTTGGATTCTGGTGTCCATGGGGATTCTGGAATTGATCCCTCACTGACATTGTTGGATAGCTACATGTCTTGCCTTGGGTAAGTAGTAATAGCCTAGCCTCTGCCAGGCATTTTCCTTCCCACAAGGGAGTTCCCATGGGGATGCTCCATTTTCCTGAAAGCCAAGCAGACATGGTAGCAATCCTTTTTGTTTGTTTTGTTTTTTTGGTCCTGGGGTTTGAACTCAGGGCCTTGAGCTTGCAAGGCAGGCGCTCTACTACTTGAGTGGTTGATGTATTTTTTTTATAAAGAAGCAAATAGCACTAGTTAATTACTGGGGTTTTCACCAGATCTCCTGACATCACTTTCCATTTTTTTCTTCTGCCATCGCACAGAATGGCAGGAGGTGCTTATGCTTTTTCTTTAGCTTTTGATTCTGGAGTACAAATGCATTCTCCCACTTCATGTTAAAAAATATTTTTAAAAAGGGTCTATATTTAGTATTTCTCCTACTGGTTTTCTTTATAAAACTCAACATAGTAGCATCATTAAATAGCTGAGGAAATCTGTACTAACAAATCAAAAAGAGGTAGAATAAGATTTAAAATGAATACCAATTGCATTAAAATTACTGAGCTATTTGTTTATTTTATTAGTTCTTACAGGATTGTGACCCCACATGAGATTCTAGTATTAGAATTTTTCTGGCTCTAGGCAGAGGGAATGAGGGAGAGCCAGAGACCAAAGTTATCCTAGGGGTTTAAGAGAACTATCTGAAAGGGCTGGAGAGAAGTCTTTTTTTTGAGACAAGATCTTGCTATGTAGCCCTAGGCTGGCCTTGAACTCACAGTTCTCCAGAGTGCTGGGATTAGAGGCTTGCATCACCACACCTGGATTGACAGAATTCTTATTAAGGATTATAAAAAAAGCAGGTTTTGGGCTGGTGGAATGGCTCAGATGGTAAGCGCACCTGCCTAGCAAGTGTGAGGCCTTAAGTTCAAACCCCAGAGCCACCAAAAAATAAAACAAAAACAACAAGGTAGATTTTTTCCCCCCACCAGTGTGAAAAAGAAGAAAAATCATTGTCAAATCAGTTACCAATTTTTCTGGCTGCTTCTAGCTGCTTGTAAGTAGCAAGATGGCCACCTTCAAATTCGCACACTGCCTTAGCTTCTGCGTAGGTGAGCTTGTATTTGCCAGACCGAGCTTCTCTGTGGTACACGCCTGCTGCTTGTTCTGTGAAGTCACAAAATGTCATCAATGCACTATTATCCTTTCTGGTGGAATAAGGATTTTTGCCTCAGTTGGAAGATAGTGTTCTTGCCAAAGAACTTTTTAGGTCAGCTGCCATGGGTTTTCATTGTTAGAAAGCCCTGGAGAAAAACATGAATGAAGGGGAATTTTAGGGGAATTTGGGGGCATAAATGAAACCAGATTTATGACATGATAGCTTGAAAGAAAGTGTCATTTTATGTATTTCTTTATTATTCACTTTATTACAAGTGATAAAGTTTTAGATTTCTTTAGGTTTTAAGTGCTAAAACTTGAAAAGCTAAGCAGTGGAGGGGGAGGAAGAGAAGGCAAAATAAAGCAGTGAAAATGGCTCCCTGATGTAGGCTCACAAGGAGGGAGAAGCGTAAGTCAAAATACCCATTTGAGGGAATGACTAAGGCAACATAACTGAGAATTAAGTAGATGAATTAAAAACTGGAAAGTCTGAAGGAATCTAAGCAAACAAGCAGTGCACTAAGGAAAAAAGAAGAATAGATTCAAATACAGCAGAGAAAAAAAATTGGGCACATCTATTAATGTCTAACTTCATCTGGTTTGCTGTTCCCAACGTGTTTAAGGCAGTGGTAAGTCATACATAAGTTGTTTTGCAGATCACTATTTGAATGGAATGTTTTCAGTTTGGAGTGCCTTCTGCCATAGAAACAATGAGGAGATTCCCAGAACGGTGATTACCAGGTTAGCGCTCACAGTGCTAATGGTTCCCCACAGCCTGCCAGATTATGGGTGAAGATTTGTACCTGGACCCGTGTAGTCAACCATCATTAAGATCATTCCCAGTGAGATCATCTATTTCCTGGCCTTCAGCAAGACATACCTCCAGTAGTATAAGAAACATGGTTCAAATGCAATTCATTCTTCTCCTTCTCAAACTAAAATGGACACTGCTACAGATGGGTGCTTGGCATGCTCCCTGCTCTCCTTGTCTCCCAGGGGTCCTGCTCTTGTATGTTACGTGGTAAAAGCCCATCACTTGGAGAAGGCCCTTGGTTGTCCGGCATGGGTAGCGAGGCTACCAGCAACATCTAATCATAAGCACTTAAGATGTTTTCTCCTTTATAAATCATCTGCGAGTCAGGCGTCCTTCGCATGGCAAGGCCTCAGTAAACTTTCAGTAATTTCCAACTTGATTATTTTGAGTAGGTATCAAGAAATATTTTGCTAGGCTCTGTGGCTCAAACTCTGTTCCCTAGGGACTTACATATATATGTATTTGACTCTTTTATTTATTCCCAAATTCAAAATTACAGGTATGTACTAACATACCCAGAGGCAATTTTAAACAAAGCGTTAATTTAATTTAATTTATCTGTTTTTGTTCTTTTGAGACAGGGTCTCTCTGTATAGCCCAGGCTGGACTTGAACTCATGATTTTCTTATCTCAGCCTTCAGAGTGTGCACAACCATGCGTGTGGCTAAGGCATTTGTTTTAAAGTACTGCTCAATCCACAATTTTAAGCTACTAAGATGTGTCTATGTACAATAAAATCCAAATTTTAAAAAATTACCTTTCAGAAGAAATAATATTTTAATAATTTTCCTAGTCAAGTCATTTATTTTTTTAAAACTGAGTATTTGTTTAACCAATAGTATAGAGTGTTAGCTGTGGTTTTCCTTGCTGATTCTACCAGAGAGGAGTTGTGTATAGCCTTGTGTCAATTGCTGGCTGAGCCTCAGTTTCCCCATCTATCAAATGGGAATAATGGTAGCTTCTGGGCTTTAGTAGGGATTTACAATAAGTCATTTAACTTTCCTTCTTTTTCAGATTCTATAAAGGACTGAAAAGAATTGCTATCTACATATTTTCAGCTTTCATGATCCATGTAAACCAAATGATGTCTCTTGTCCTTTAGTATTATTTGTGAAATTACTATTTAAGGAACTGGAAGACACCAGAATTCAAGTGTCCTATTTTGATAGTTGTTTGCAGATTCCTTCCTTATAAAACAACTCTCTTTCCTCCCTGAACTGTTGCTAATATTATATTGACCCAACCAACTGTAAACAATTTGTGCGAGGCTGACTGGTCAATAATTTGCCCCAGATCGAAGCGATTTACAACCCATCCAAGCCTCAGATTTGTAGCATATTGTTAACAGAGCTTTGGGTTTGTTTCTGTCTTCCTCTAGGGTAGAACTGTTATAGCCTAGGTTTATATTTTTGTAATAGTCAACATCACTTATAAAAGCAACACCAAATTACTTGATCCTGAGAGAGGTTGATAGCACTTCAAATTTTATCCAAGTGGGCTTTATTCTTACTAACTTTATGACATGTCTTTTTCATTTCTGACAAATGTGCATGTATTTCCTCAATTTGATTGTGTACAATGAAAATAAACAAAGAGATTTATTCATTGCTGCACTAAATTCCAGAACCCATCTTGACCAAATGGATCACACTGAAACTAGTTCACTGGCTCAAGCTTGGGCGGAAGAAAAGGCGGCAAGACGGAACATTACAAATCTAGGATTTTTTAATGAAATCCTCATGGCTATAGTTATAACCAGAGAGAAACTTGCCGAAAGGGAAAAATAGTCTACAACCATGTGCTGCTTAGCAAGCACAAGACCAAGATCTAGGTTAATTGTGCTTTCTCTTTATTTCTGTATTCTGTGCAGGAATCTGTCAATTTCCCACCCCCCCAAACCGTTCCATTTTTTTTCTGTATTAAACACAATAACAGATAAAAACAATATCAATTTGTGTCTTAAGAATTAAACTATTGTTTAGTGTACTCTAATTGGTGGTCTGTGGTTTCTATGTTTAGGGGTTTTTTTTGTCTATTGTTTGTCTTCACCATTTGGTCTGTGTCATTTCTTACATGTAACAGAACAAAACAACAAAAGGAACTTTCCTTCTCTTACAAAAAGGTTAGAAAAGTGTTTATATGAATAGGAGGACAAAAGGAATCCCAGTGATAAGAACACATTCAGAAGTAGAAAGCTTTCTCATTTTTTTCTATATAGCAAGATAATTTTGTCAAAATAGTTGAGAGATATTTAGAAAAACGTATGATATACCCTACAGTTCAAAGGACATGGAGCAATGGCTGTAAAATTTTTGTATATTCCAATTTATCTGAAATCTGGCTACAAATGCAATTGAAATAAAAACAATTATATTGGCATTTTTAGTTTGCTAAAGATGTATTCCTCACAATGCTATCACATCTGTTATAAAAAATCTTAAAATATATTTTCACAGTGAGTATAAATCTTAACTATTTTCTATTGAACAATTCAAGAATATAAAAAACTATGTTTAAGTTTTATAAGGCAAGAACACATTTTTTAAAAAGGCATTTCAATGGCTATGTTTTCTAAGCATTTTCTATGAAAACATAATTTCTGAATAGGTTAAAAAATCTTACTGCTTTGATTCACTCCTCTATGGTCTCAAAGAATTGACATCCCCAAGAAGAAGGCTCATGAGCGAAGTTTCTTACCAAGCCATATGGAGTTATGAAAAATTCCGTTCTTGAATCCCCATCCTTGAGTCTCTTCCCACAGCAAGATGAACAAGTAAAGTAAGACGATCATAACTTTGGTAGAAAAGTTAACAGCCTGTCAGGGGCTGCTTACGATCAATTCTCAGAGCAGCGGCTGAAATGTGGCTGAAACATCTGGTTTCCACATCTTTTAAATAGTTTTTTTCAACTGTGAGGTCAGCAAGTACTCTCCAATGGTATTTTCCGTTGTAGAATTACACAATTAACTCACTGTCTGAGGGAGTCTTCTGACTCATTTGCATTGGCAACCAGAACTAAGGATATAGATGATCATCTACATGTTAAAATTCCTGTACTCAGAAGAGAGTTCGTTTATTCTGTCTGTCACCATTTTCTGCCAGGAAGTCTGTGTAAGTTAGTGCAGATTCGGCAGTGGTTAAAGAGAGCCAAACTTCAATTTCTTAAAAGAAATCCTAAATGTCTTATTTGCAGTGTCAGTCATGAAGTTCAAAGTTTAGCAGTCTTTAACTTGATCCTGGTAAATAGTACATTAGAGTTCCCTAAACATTGCCAAGTCTGTGCAGAAAATTTAAAGCAAAAAATGTGCACAGTCTGATGAATCCTGCACTTTCTCTTTGACTACTTTTTTTTGGTTGGTGGTGGGATTGGGGTTTGAACCCATGGCTTTGTTCTTGCAAAGCAGACACAATATTCCTTGAGCCACACTTCCAGTCCTCTTTGCTCTGGTTATTTTGGAGATGAGGTCTTCTGAAGTATTTGCCTGGGCTGGGCTGGCCTCAAATCATGATCCTCCTGATCTCAGCTTCCCAAGTAGCCAGGATTATAGGTGTGAGCCACCGGTGCCTGGCTCTCTCTGGCTACTTTTGTTCTGGGCTAAAGTCTGTTGCAGTCTTTGGTTCACTGTGGTCAACAGGTAAATTAAATATACCAGTTTCCAGAAAAACTGTCCAATTTCAGAACTTTAGGATATGGGAGCAACTTCAGAGTATCCTATTATAACACAAAATTTCCCAGTCATACATCCTTGGTGTATTGGTAGGGAGGTGAGTAGATAAGAATAAAGTCAACAAAAATATGGCCCTAGCTTCCCTCGATCACTCTAACCTTGACAAAGATGATCAAAATAATAGGTAATAACTGGCAGAATGGCTCGAATGGTCGAGTGCCTGCCTAGTGAACATGAGGCCCTGAGTTCAAACTCCAGTAGCACCAAAAGAGCAGGCAGTGTAATTACCATAGTAAAGTCACCGTGCCTTCAAGCATGCCATACTTTCTTTCTTCCCCACAACAATCTTAAGGTGTTTGGTGACATGTCTGGTCATATTGCCACTGTTGCTGATACGAATGACATTTCCTGTTGTTGATGGATGCCATTTTTTAGCAATTTTTGTTGGTTTTTCTTACTGGCTATTTTTTGCTTCTTAGCTTCTTTGCTCTTGGTACCAAACTGCTTCCCATGTGCTTGTGTCGTAGCCCTCATTTTTCCTAGGCTTTTTTAGTCCCTCTAATGTTTCCTAGGCTTTTTTAGTCCTTTGAAAAAGCCAACTTTCCAGACATACTCTGGTCTGAAATTAGCGGTAAATCCCTTAGATATCTTTGCATTGAGGATGACAGGCTTATTCTGGACTCATCTTTCCTTGAGAGAGCAGTTGTGGGGAATGTAGGCTGAGGGTACAGAATTTAATGGCTGCTCAGAGATATGCATAGTTACCAGGGTACAAGATCTATTTTGGAGCAGTGGTAATAAGACAGGAGGGGAAAGTTCACTGGTTAGTGAGTTTAAATGTGGTGCAAAACAGAAGGATACTGTCTAGACCATGTGGGCACAACTGGAGAACACAACTTGTTTGTGGTTTAGGAAGCAAATGTAACTTTTACGTGCACACTGTCACAGCAAAATTGTCATATCTGTCCCCTTTGGTCACTTGCTCTGGCCATTTCATGCCATTTCTGAATTTCTATCAAGTGCCTAATTTCCCCCTACTTTTCATTTACCAAAAATTGCTCTTAGGAAAGCATTTGTAATTAATCAAGTAACTAAGAACACATACTCTCTGTTCATTTGCATTTTAATGAGGCTTCAAGTATATCAGGACTTGTGAATGTTCAACTTGTTTTACCATGAAAATTTAATGAGTTGATTTGATGGATTAACTTAATCTAGGATGGAGGATTTCTTCTCCCTCTCTCCTAACTCCCATACAGAAATAAATATTTCTCCATATAGTGTTGGAAAACCTTGTCCTCCCTGTCATCAAGGAAATAGAAAACAATGTCTAAGTCAAGTGTGGTGTTTCACAATTGTAATCTCAGTGCTTGGGAAGCTGAGGCAGAAAGATCTTGAGTTCAAGTTCTGATTCAAGCTTAAGGCCAGCCTGGACAACATAGCAAGACCTTGTCTCAAACCAACCAACCAACCAACAGACAACATTGCCTGATGGTGTGGGCTCTGCTTCTGAGGGAATGTTCAATTCTGTGTGGAAGAAAAGATGAAATGAGATGTATCACATGGAAAAGATGCAGGTGGGTCGTGGGGGTGGGGAGAAGTGAGGTGTAGTAAAGGGAGTTGCCATGAATTTATCTAGGAAGCTGTCCAGGTCCTGGGACATACTACCGTGGAGTGTGCTGCGGAGCAGAGAGAAGACACTTTGGTAGAAGTGCCTTTCCAGGGCCCAGAAGACTTTTCCAGGCAAGTGTCTGGCCTATGTGGATGAATCACTCCCCTCCCCCAATCCATGAGCCGTGGCTCTTTTTTTTGCACCTACCACAACTGGCAGCAAACCCAGCAAGCCTGTGCTGTTTTGCGCAGGTAGCTCCTCTTTCTTTGGGTTGCATTTTCACGAGGTTCCAATGTCTATAAGTCTAACTCCACATCTTATGGGGCACAGCGCACAGAGCGAACACAGACGCTCCCTTAAGCGGGCACAGTGGCTTAGTGATGCCACTACTACACAAACTTGAAAAAAACAACGCTAGAGTTGCAAACGTCAGAATAAGAGGGGATAGTTTGAATCCTTTTGATACGCTTAGTCTCAGCTAACAGGGAAAAGGAATGGAGAAATGTCAGGTGGATACAGACAGAAGGGAGAAAGAAAGAGAGGTAAGGGTAATAAGTTTTATGAGATCACGTATCTGATTATATTTCCAAAAAGACTAGATTTGAATAGCAAGACATTGAGAGAAAATGCAATTCTTTGACACGGTATGAAAACTAAAGCGTCAGTTATATCCCTTATTGATTATATTTTGTAATCTTGGCAAGAGAAGGAAAGGGGTGGAACTCAGTGAATTACAAAATACATCAACAGTGGACATCTTTAGCATTGCCAGTAAGGGTGTGGAATTATAGTCCAGGAATGCCTCACCCTTCCTAGAACCTCCACATGGACCAGGATGGGAAGAAAGACAGTGCAGGAAGTAAAACTCATTCCTCTTGACTGACTTAAGACAATTAGAGAGACATGGTTTTGTTTATTTGTTTTACTTTGTTTTGGTGGTATTATTGTCTTTTAGTTTTTTTGAAACAAGGTCTCCCTATGTAGCCCAGGCTGACCTTGAAATCTTTATCCTTCTACCTCAGTCTCTCCCAACTGCTGGATTACAGGCATGTACCACCACACCTGGCTTGGGAGAGAAATTCTTATGCATGGCATAGAACAAGGTTAAAGAAATGAAATGCAGTATGTGTGTTACTATTCTCAGCACTGTGACCAAACATCTGACACAAACAACTTAAGGTTCAGGGTTTTAGCAGTTGCAGTCCATAGTCCTTGGCTCTGCTCACTGTGGCTCAGATGAGGAAGAGTATTATGCAATGGAAACCTGTGTTGGAAGTTCTCACTTCTTGTAGGCAGGAAGCAGAGAAAGGGAATACAGGAAGGGGCCAGGGCAAGATGAATTCCTCAGGGATGTGCCCTACTGACCTACTGCCTCCAACGAGGTGCCTCCTACTGTTCATCTCCTCCTTATTTATTTATTTATTTATTTTTGCCATACTGGGCCTTGAACTCAGGGCTTCATGCTTGCTAGCCAGGTGCTCTATCATTTGAGCCACCCTGCCAGCCCCTCACCACCTCCTTATAATAATATCATTGTATTATGACTCCATCAAAGGATTAATTAATTGATTAGGTCAGAGCCCTCAGGATCCAGTCACTTCCCAAGAGCCCATAAGGTAGCAACTAAGCCCCAGTACATGAACTTGTGGGGGACATTTCATATTTAAATCATAACAGTATGTGACATTCCACTCCTTCATTCAGTAATGAAATATTTAATAATTTTATACCAAAAGCTTTTAGTGAAGATAAGCCTAAGCATAACACTCAATAGAATAACAAGCTTTCAAGTTTATGGGAAAACTGATGTTAGAATGAGACTTGAAATCAACATTGGACGTTGCATAGTTAAGTTGAATGATTGTCACCAGTAACCTTCAACAACTATTTCAGCTCTGCACCTTCTAGCAACAGCAGTATTGTATTTGCAGCCATCTCTGGTTTGGTGGGGCCATGAAATTTTTGACCAATGTGATGTGAGCAGAAATACCTATGTCTCTCAGAGATGATGATTTTTTTTTTTTTGATAGCACTGGAGTTTGAACTCAGGGCTCAGTGCTTGCAAAGCAGGCACTCTACTACTTGAGCCACACATCCAGGTTGGAGATTGGGGGGAGAGGGCGGGGAAGAGGGGTGTCTTACAAACTATTTGCTCAAGCTGGTTTTGAACTGAGATCCTTCTGTTCTCAGTCTCACAAGTAGTGCCTAGCTAGAGATGAGGATTTGATTGCTAATGATCCAGAATTCTCTAAAGGAAAAGACAAAAATAAATAAATAAATAACAACAACAAAAACCTAAAAAATAAAAAATGAAACAAAACAAAAGAAACACAGAATTCTCTTTCCCTTTGGCATCAAGGGAAACATTTGAGAGAGCGGCTGCCTTATCACCTTGGATCCCTGATTCACTCCTGATTCACTTATGTTTAGCCTAAGTGAATGATAAGCCTTTGTTGTTTTAAGATTTGGGGGTCATATATTACTCAGCATAATTTTATCTGTTTTAAAGAAATGACTTAATATGGGTATTAAAGCAAGGGATGACTTCAGATGGTTGGGGGTATGATCTAGTCACAATCTCAAGCAAA